AATGAAATTTAAATGACTCTTCGCCGGCGTTAGAGAGGGTCCCTTTGGATAAAATGATTCGGAAGATTTAAAAATGAGTTTTTTGGTTAAAGACGATTCTTTCTGACAATCGTAATTTTTTTGGTATAGTTGCGAGTTTTACAGTGCTCGTTGACTTAGAATAAGTTTAGCAAACAATCCAAATTTAACAAACTCAACTATATCCCCCTCCAGTTTTTCGAAACATTCAATCCAATGTATCCTGTTTTTATGACAAATTTAACCTTGGGTTAGTGAAATTCGAAATTAAAAAAGATATGACTTTTGTGGCTGCTGGGATTCGAGCCCAGGTCTCCACGGCCACAACGTGGAATTCTTACCACTAAACTACAGCCACAAGATGTTGTTAGCTGGTCACTGAATCAAATTATAGTATGTGAGTTTCTAGGGCTTCCCTTATAGACCTAGAAAGAAACAACCGATTTGATAGTGTTCGAGGTATTGCCGAGCCAGTTGATAGATCATAGAATGGTCCTGGTTTCCATCAACGCTCATAGTTCTTTTTCATCGTGCAGACAGAGAGAGTGATCGACTAAAACCCTAATTAGGACTCCTCCACTTAATCTGGTCTTTTATGCTTGCACGGTCGCACCAAAACATACTGAGTTGAACCAAACATATTGAGGTGTACTAACATTTTGTTGACGAGTGTGTCCAATGGGGTACTTATTGTGTTCGCTATTTGCCATCAATTGATCAACTAGTCGGCATTGTGGGTTGTCCCAACCTGTCTTTCCGGTGTCTCCAAGTTTGAAGGGGTATGGTGGACTAAAACCCTAATTAGGATTCCTTGTTGTCAACCATATTGTATATATATTTATTTGTATATCAGATTTCCTACTTAGGAATCCTATTCCTTGTAGCCCAATACTTGTAGGAATCCTATTCCTTATAGCCCAAGAATTGTGATGCATATGTAAAGGGATTTACTCTATGAATGAAATTAATCATCCCATTCTACAACAACAAAGTTATCTTTCATTCAGGTAATATTTCAGTGAAAGCTGCTTCCACTGGTTTTTTATTGTTGGGTTCTTTCTGATATTGTCTAACAGTTGGGGGAAGACGAAGAACATTGGTCAACATCATCACCATCATGGGTGGCCGCGGCGGAGACAGCCCTTATTATGATCTCTTGTTGTGGGGTTGTTGGTGTCCTTGTTATTTAGTCTCTTCGTTTTTCGGAAGAATCGGGAGGTGCACGGCTAGTTTCCCTGTTCTGCAGCGTTTTGGATTGGATAACTGCAGACGCCACCACCATCACCAAAAACACATTCTCACTAACCTTCTAAAACTTGTATCCCCTTCTGAATAGCTTTTGATATATTCAGCCAATTATTCTATGTAACAGAACATGTTCAACGAATTTGTGTCTGCGAGTGCAAATGGAGAGGCTTTCTCTTGAAACAATGCATAGTCCTAGTGACATCATCAGTCCATTACATGTTTAAAATTACTTTAAACTATTCAATAAATGTTTGTCATGTAACATCACTGATTATATAAGAGTAACTCTCACACAAACAGTATAGCCCACCCGATCGACAAAGCTCATGCGCCCACACGAAAAACACTACCTCCTAGCTAGAATAGGTTATCGTTGGGCCTTATCGTGGTTGCACCAATTTGTGAGATCTTAAGAACTTCGTTATGTTATGCTCCTTCATGCAACTTTATTCTTCTCAACAATAGTGAAGGTTGTGAAGGATTAGACGAGCAAAAATACACATCAAGATCTGTAGTCAGAAAACTACAATTGCATGCCCTCCTTTTTCACGTAAAGCACAAAACAAGAGACCTAACCCCCAATAGAATGCCTTATAAGAACTTTAAAACCACAAACAAATCAACTAAAATCCCTACTGTCCCATGTAACACTTCTTGCATTCCCAGTATTGTGTATGTTTTTTTCACTCTCTACATCGATTATTTGGTTATTCACCTAATCACAATTAGAATGTTATAATTATTATTAAAATATACACAATCAATGAGCAAATGATCAATGTGTTTTTCTTATCAAAACAACACTTTTGCATATTAAATATCCATCCTTCCATTCTTGCTGAATAAAAATACATATTTATGGCTCGTTTAGAAGCGTTTTTAAAATTACTAAAAGTTTTTTTTTGTGAAATTGATTTTGAGTTCTAAAAACACTTTAAATAGTTTTTGGAAGAAACACCACACATCTACTTCTTGCAAGAAGCACTTAAAACGTTGTTTGGTTTCAAAATCCTTTAAATTTTTACTAAAAATTAGTTTTAAAAATGTTTTCATTTATTTTAAAAAACACTTTTAAATGTCCTTAATCATTTATAATTTATGTTTTGTTTGGCCAAATAAAGTAAAAATTTATGTTGCTATGTTGGCAACCATATCATTACTTTCTTTGTCTGAAGCCCATGAATACTTCAAATTTGGGCACGGGACCGCCGCCATTGAAAGTCTCCAGGTGTGATCTTGTATAGGGATAGCGACAGATCGAGTATCCCACCACGTGTTTCCAACACCATGCAAATTTGCAAAAGTAGCAGCACTAACATTATGTTTGGATGAGGAAAATAAACTTGAAATTTAGATAAAAATCAGAATTTATAAATTGATATGCATCAATTCTCTTATTTGGATTTATAAACATAGAAGTTTAGAATTTCTGCATGGAAAAAGAACTTGGAATTTAAGACCTCCAATTCCCAAGTTTAAATTCTATGTAAATAGGTGTCATTTCTCAATTTCTATGATTGAGAACTTAAAAATAACAAATTCTGTATTCAATTTCATTGTTCTTTTAAGTTAACCAAACAAGAAAATTCACAAATTATAGAAAATAAAATCCTATCATTTCGATTTCTGTCATTTAAAATTTTTTAGTAATCTTAAATCTCTTCATCCAAACATAATGTAAGAGAATTTCCAACAATTTCTCTAAACATGACTTCTAAACACAAATCACATGACGATTTAGACCATCTTCAGCGGACTCTCAATTGCAAGAGCAATTGGATTCAATTGTCTTTGGACCCAACAATGATGCTCCACCGATGGAAAAACCAAGAGGCGGTTGGGCAAAAGGCAGTAGTTCTTGCAACAACGGCAAGGACTTGCGACTGCTCGAAGCCTAGCAGACAGGGGGCGCCACACGTGAAGGTCAATCTTTAAAGGAAAACTAATAAAAAGAGCTTGAAAACTTTGAGTTTTAAGAATAAAAATAAAATAAATAGTAAAATGAATAGTACCAGAATTAACTTTTTAGTGTAAAAATGTGGTTTTTTAAAAGTGAACAGTACCATAAGCTTTTCATTAAAGTTCACTTAATTTAACTCTTAAAAATCTTTAAAATTACCAACAAAAATATTTAATAATTTCAAAAAATTTACAAAATTCACACTTAAAAAATCTTACAAAGTTCAATGCATTTGCAAATTATATATTTAGAATTAAACCAAAATCTACATCGATAATATCATGTAAATGTGACAAAGACACATTAATATTTAACGTGACCACTTGTAATATACTAAGAGTATCTTTTATTATTTTTCCTCATGCGACCTCTTTTAGTATTTCTATTTTCTTTCTTTTTTGGTGACAAAGGTGACAAAGACACATTATTATAATAAAGAAAAAAAAATGATAATGCGACTTTTTAAAATAAAACTTTCCACAAACTCTTTAACATCTCATGCTTTTATCATATTATTTTATAATATTGGCAAGAAAATTAACGCTAAACTATGAAATAACAAAGAGTCTATGGAAGGTCCCACTTTTGAGAGTTCTAAGAGGGGATAGAGTTTTAATTGAAAAATACTAAGAAGACTCTCCCAAAAGTGGGACTCTTCATCGATCATCTGTCACCTCATGATTTTGTCACTGTATTTTATAATGTTAGCACGAGAATTACCGTAAAACTGTGAGCTAAAAGATAGTTCATGAAGAGTCTCACTTTGAAAGAGAGTCTTCAACATTTCTCATCTCTAAATTTATGAAAGCAAGAAAAAATTCTATGTGCACCTTAAATTTAATTTTGTAGACTCTTGAAAATGCTCTAAAACAAAAAAGTTACAACCAAATTAATGTTCTCTAGGTTTATACTTTCTCCCTAGAAGACCATATTCTTTTCATCATATTAGCTAGTTACGTAACATGTTTGATCAATTATTTATTATTCTTATAAATTATTAATTAATAGATCAAGTTTTACATTTATGTTATGCCAAAGTGCTTAAAACATAAAATTCATCTTTTTCAACATCCTCGTAGAGAAGAATATTTTCTGCATTGTACACCAAATAAATGTTAAGGATATTTCCTAAAAAAATGGTACTCTATGAATTTTCTGTCATCTCATATTTTTTGTATAATATTTTATAACGTTGACACATAAATTGACATTAAAATGCAAGATGAGTCAGGTGACAAAAAATCCATAAGGACTCTCATTTTTTAGAGAGCTCCCTTAACATTTCTCTTGTACACAGTTGGGTAGGAGATTTAGTGTAAAGCCCAAAATAAGAAATTTTTTATCTTATGATGCATTTAATGATGTGTCTATCTCTGTTAACATTAACACATGCTTAGTAACATACTAACATAAAAAGACACATAATTAATATAGAAAAAAACTTATGTAGAAACACCTTAAATTCCGTTAAATGTATGACAACTCTCGTAAAAACGTAAAATTTTCTTTATTTTGTTCACATGCGACTTCACGATAATTTCTAACTGTATAAAAACTGCCGTAACGAGACAACGTTACGTAAACTTTCCTCGATAATAACTAGGAACTTCTCCCAAAAATTACGACAAAAGCTTTGTACAAAGAGACACGTGAATTGCATGTAAAACATAATTGAACATAGTTATCTGCGCCAATGTGGGTCCAGCTCTTTTATCCGATAGTTTAAAGCCAAAAGTGTGATCACAAATATACAGTTTAAAAGCAATTGGAAAAAGAAAACGAAAGGAACGCAAAATCGAACTGTGGTGATTTGAGTTTATTTGACCGAGAGAAATTGTTGCAGTGCACAAGAACTAGTTCCTCTTCTTAATCATCAGATTCTGCGATCTGGGTTTGGAGAAAAAAACCATATTTTCTCAGGAAAATCCGTAAAAGTTTTCCTTTTTTTCTTTGTACATTTGTAAAATCGGGTTCGAAAAAGTTTCGTTATCTGAGTTTTATATTGTTGGGTTGTGAATCTTTTGATCCGGGTCCCTCTGCTTCGGCTTCATAAATTGGAGACTGAGTGTTTCAGTGTGTAAAAAAATGAAGGAAAAGCTTGGATTTTTAGTTTGTGTGTGGTTTCTGCTATGTGGGGTTTGTGTGGCGAGGTTCGTGGTGGAGAAGAGCAGTTTGAAAGTGACTTCTCCGAGCTCGATGAAGGGTGAGTACGAATGTGCGATTGGGAACTTTGGGGTTCCTCAATACGGAGGAACTTTGGTGGGAACTGTGTACTATCCGAAGACCAATCAGATGGCATGCAAAGGGTTTGAAGATACCGACGAATCCTTCAAACCGAAGCCCGGTGGTCTGCCGACGTTTGTTCTTGTCGATCGAGGAGGTTAGAATCTTCGATTTTTGATATTTTTCACTAAATTTATGAACTTTTATGGTAATAGTTTGGTATCAGTGTGCAAATTTGTGTAGAAATAATTATGGGGTGTTATGGAATTTGCGGTTGATGTAAATGGCAATTAATTTGGTGTGTTTTTGTATTATATACTTGTGGTTTGCATCTAGTCCCGTTGGCGAAACTCGAAAGTATATTTGAAAAGTTTAGCAGATGTTTATTAACTGATAAAAAGTTGGGTTGTGTTGGCTGGTTATGGTTAGGTTCTTGTGTATTCATAATTCAAGCCCTTACCCTCCTTGACAGTTATGTTAATCATTTATCCAATGTACATGGAAGTTTTTTTATGACTCATTTCTGTGAGTACACAAGCGGATGGTTTTGATCGGGACATTTCTAAGAACGTGCATGTAAGGCTTCTGTGTCCCTTCACTGGTGTGTTTTCTTTATATGACTAATTGACTGTGATGTCCTGGCAGATTGTTACTTCACATTGAAGGCATGGAATGCACAGAAAGGGGGAGCGGCCGCCATTCTTGTTGTAGATAACAAGAATGAGCAGTTGATTACCATGGACACTCCTGAACAAGAAGATGCGGATGCTGATTATCTGCAGAATATCACAATTCCTTCGGCTCTCATTAGCAAAGAGTTGGGAGATAGTATAAAAAAATCTCTATCGGGCGATGAGATGGTCAACATAAATCTAGACTGGACAGAGGCTCTTCCACATCCTGATGAACGTGTTGAGTATGAGTTTTGGACGAATAGCAATGATGAGTGTGGGCCAAAGTGCGACAGCCAGATTGAGTTTGTGAAGAACTTTAAGGGAGCAGCTCAGGTACTTGAGCGGAAGGGGTACACCCAGTTTACTCCACACTATATAACATGGTACTGTCCAGAAGCTTTTGTTTCGAGCAAACAGTGCGAGTCTCAGTGTATCAATCATGGGAGGTACTGTGCTCCTGATCCAGAGCAAGATTTCAGTAAAGGTTATGATGGGAAAGATGTTGTGGTCCAAAATCTCCGTCAAGCTTGCTTCTATAAAGTGGCCAATGAAAGTGGAAAGCCATGGCTTTGGTGGGACTATGTCACGGACTTTGCAATACGTTGCCCAATGAAAGAGAATAAGTACAACCAAGAATGTGCAAATCAAGTTATTGAATCCCTTGGTATGGTAGCAACTTCTCATATGTAGAAGGTTAAAATTTGATTAACCAATGCACTATTGTTAGCTGCATTGTAGATGTGTTGTTTAGCTTAAGTACAATTTAATATTTTTGCTGATTTGTGTTTTAAGTTTGTTGCTAGTTGTTTCTGCTTGCTTTTCGAGTATAAATTCTATAGTATTTTGGGAACTTTATCAATTTGCTAGTTTGAGCTACCTTGTCGGTTTGAACTGCCATCTCTTTGATGACTTATTTATTTGCAATTCTATGATTTGCCTGTCTATGTTTTGCAATAATTGAAGTTTCTTGGTTGGTGTTAATTCGTATTCTTCAATATTTAACAAGAGTATGTGAGTATTGTTCATATGATCAATTTTTGTTTTTTATCCTGCTATAATTTGCCCGAAAGTTTTAAGCTTGGTTGGTGTATAGAAATTCATGAAATATCAGAAACTCTGATGTGAGTTGTCTAAATATCTTTATCTCTCCTTGGCTGGTTTTTGTGGATTGTTATTTACTCTGCTAAAATCTGGGCACCATAAAGTAACTATTTCCACGTATTTTCTGTAACATTAAAGGTGCTGATCTGAAGAAGATACAGAAATGTATTGGCGACCCTGAAGCAGATGAGGAGAATGCAGTTCTGAAGGCCGAACAGGATGCCCAGGTTGGGGCCATGGGAACTGTTTGACATGTTTTAGCTTTATCTCCTCATCTTTTCATGTTTTGCATGTAGTGTGCAGTGTGCTACTTTGTTCTTATGTTTCACTTCTCAAATGTTTTGCAGATTGGCAAGGGCTACCGTGGAGATGTTACAATATTGCCAACTCTTGTAATAAACCGCAGACAGTACAGAGGTATGATACAAATCTTTTCTATATCCCGTTAGGCATTTATTCACATCACTTTTCTTGTCTCACGTTTGTTTCTTTTGTTTTTTTAAGGGAAACTGGACAAGGGAGCTGTTCTCAAAGCCATCTGTTCTGGTTTCCAAGAGACCACTGAGCCCGCTGTTTGTTTAAGTGAAGGTCCTCATTTAGCCTTATTTTTCTATGTTCTTCATTGATATAGTTATGTAGATTGATTCTTGTTATTCCACATGTGAGTTTGTATGATGGTACATGTGAATGTTTTGAAGCTACCGCTTACCTGTCTTTACTGTACTTGCCATTATTATAAAGAGGGTGATTTCCACCAACCAAAACAACAATACTTTTGTTCGCAATAAAAAATGACTGTAATATAGTTCGTATGGTAAAATGATGATACCCCTTCCGGTAAAAACCTTCCTACTTGAATGTGTGCGTGTGAGTAGGGCCTGCAATAAGTTTTGGAAATGGTAGTAGTTTTAGTTTCCAGCCATATCTGGATAGCATATTTTTACCAAGATTATCCAATGGAAACATCATTTCACTATTTGGCTCACACTCTATTATCTCTGAGATGGTGTCAATTGCCTGTTTATTTTCAGATGTACAAACAAATCAGTGTTTGGAAAACCATGGAGGTTGCTGGCATGACAAAGTTGCTAACCTTACCGCTTGCAGGGTATCTATTGTCGTAAACTTTTGTCGTTGTATTCTTTTATGGGGGTTTCTCAGGGTTATTGATATTTAGTTTGTTTGGGATTTCAGTTTTTCTTGTGTACACTGATTGTTCTTTTGTTTTAGGATACGTTCCGTGGACGAGTGTGTGAATGCCCTATTGTGCAAGGCGTAAAGTTTGTTGGCGATGGGTATACTCACTGTGAAGGTACATTATTTGATTGTCATTTATGGTTAATTGTGGCATGCATTCCAAATTTTCACATTTACTGCCGGTGGAGATTATGTGGTCTTAGTCTAGGTTGTAGTCTCTAACTTACCTGACATTACTTCGTTTGTATTTCCTTGTTCCCTCCTTGGTTTTTTTCTTTTGTTTTAAGAAAAGTTGCCATCATTATGCTAGGAAATTTTAGAACGGGGTGCTTGAATATGTTGTTTTACTCTAGTCATTATGTTGCTTGCTTTGATCGAACAGCTACAGGAGCATTACGTTGTGGAATTAACAATGGAGGTTGTTGGAAGGAAACCCAACTCGGCAGGACTTACTCTGCTTGTCGTGTAAGTTTGGATTTGAATCTTCTTAAAGAGTCTATCTCCACCCTAAAGTAAAAAAATGATCATGCTTTCTGATTAATGGATGTTCAGGATGACCATACAAACGGTTGCAGTTGTCCACCAGGATTCAAGGGTGATGGAGAGAAAACATGTGAAGGTACCCACCATGTCCAGATGTCTCTAATTAATGATTTATACTGCAATTCTCATTTATAAATCAGTTGATGACTTGGATGGCTCGTTGAGCATATTTAGCTTAAGCTCCCGAGTCCATTTCCAAGGGATTTCTACCGCAAACTGTTCTATGCCACATTTATACACACCGTTTTACCATCGAGAGAACATTACCTACTTCCTGCGCTTATAAATATGTAAGGCTACCAGATGAGCACATAATCAAGGGTCCTGAGTTTGAAGGCCACCACTGGTATTATATTTAAATACTTGTGATTTTGATAATTCTTCTTGATTACCAGCCTTCATTGCAGAGGTGAATGGTTTGGTTTCCTCGAAAACTTATATGCGCTTTATTTCATATTGTAACAACTAGATGACATTTATGATCCCTATTCTCTTGTATTGGTGCCAAGTCACCCCAGCCGGTTTTCTGTTGTTGCTCATGTTCCAGATGTGGATGAGTGCAAGGAGAAAACAGTTTGCCAATGTGCACACTGCAAATGCAAGAATACTTGGGGCAGTTACGACTGCAGTTGCGGTGGTAGTTTACTGTACATGCAAGCATATGATGCATGCATAAGTGAGTATTCTCGATTCTTTTTTGTTTTTTTGTCATTTGAATGACATGCTGGTATGGTTTTCTTTGCTAAACTAGTCGTCCATTCACCTTCACAATGCGATAGATTGTGAGTCGTGAGTCGTGACATTGGAACTTCCCTTTCAGACAGAGACTAATACAGATGATGGAATTCCTGCTGTTTGTTTCCCACCATTAATTTTGACGCATGATTACTACCTTCTGTGCTTTTGCATCATGTTTATATGGTTTTCTACGTTAATTATTCTGTCGCTCTTTTTTTAAGCAGGTAAAAACGCCAGTGGTTCTGGGTCTAGCTGGGGATTAATTTGGATTATCATTCTCTGCTTGGGTGCTGTCGGAGTTGGGGGATATGCAGTTTACAAGTATCGAATCCGGGTATGTTTTCTTACCCTGAAATTCTTGTTCAAAAACTAATGTATTACTTACGAGTCCGCTTTCTACAATGTGCCAGCCCTTAAAGCTAAACGCGGTTTGTTGAATTACTCCTGTGCAGAGATACATGGATTCAGAGATCCGGGCAATCATGGCGCAGTACATGCCGTTGGGTAATGAAGGAGAAGTTCCCGGCCATGTCTCCCGCGGGGAGATCTGAAACTGGCGGAGACATATTCATAAGATGTAAGATGCTGACCGAGAGAAAAGGGAAGACAAACGACGTCCTGAAATCCTATGTCCTCCTCTAACCTCTAGGCGCGGCATTAACAATCGGTTCACTCGCGAGAGTGTAACGTTTTAAATGTGTCTAGCATCAGCGTTGCTCCGCATGTTTCGCATTATATTTTCTAGTAGGAAACAATTGTCCGTCGATGTTCTCATCAATGTAAAACATACCACAGAAAACTAGATACAAGTACTAATCCGGCTTCGAGGCAAGCCGGGCTTTACTCGTTCATAATCTTACACCAATCTTCCAATGCCAAGCTTTCTTTTCTTCGAAATCTTACCCAAATTTCCAACGGCGCCCCTCTATTTGGGTGGTGGCGTCGATGGTGGCGGAATGAAGGGTGGATCTAGTAAAACAGAGGGAAGGGGAAGTTTTAAGCACCAGATGTCCAGATGGGAAGGATGACGAGGAGCAAGGCTTGGCAAAAGTCTCCGGAAATCAGGGACAGGTTTTGGGATGGGAGGGCTTGAAATCAGAGAGTGAAATGTGAGCCTTCACTCTTTAAGCTCCCCCACTGGCACTGGGTTCATTAAGTGGTTTTATAAAAGAACATTTCTTGGCTACTTAAAAATGAGTAGAAATTCCTACTCAAAACTCTTAGTATTTGAATCACAGAGTTTTGCGCTTATGATCAAAATCATTAATATTATCAATCACACTATAAAGATCATCTTTGCAAAAAATGAATTAAAACGAAGTCGTTTAGTCATATATTCTAGCAAATACATAGACGGTTCGTAATACTTTTACCAATTCCGTTTATTTGCTTTTATAATGACTAAATAACCTTATTTTTAATTGATTTTTTTCATAGAGGATTTTTATAGGGTGATTTATAATATAAACGGCTTTGATTATAAACACGAAGTTCTATAAATTGACAACGAACAATTTTAAATAGGAATTCCTACTCTTCATTTGAATGGCCAAGTATTGTTCATCATAAAATAAGAGATCCAAAACACAAATTCACGATGTATCATAAAAATAAAAAAAATAAATTAAAATAAATAATAATAATAAATTCAAAACGCAAGCTCACCGTACCACATTTCATAAAATGACTAATAAGTGAAGATAAGGTCATCTCCAACCGAAATAGCTAAACATAGTCCAGTGAATTACATCCTTGTAAAAAATTATTTTAAAATGAACAGTATCAGGCCATGCTCACATACCATCTCCAACCGAAGGAGCTAAACATAGTCCCACAATAATTTATTAGTTTTAAGTTTATACATTAAATTCATTGGTTAATTTAATTAAATTATGGTTGAATGTTTTCAAATATAGCCGTTGAATTTGTATCGATTATTGGAATTGAAGAACTAAGCCCAAATAAAAGGCTAAGAGGAGGGCTACATTTGGCAAGCCTGATGCCCCTTTGCCCAAATAATGGTCCAATGAGCTTCATACACCATATAATTATATCACAGTAATCGATTGGAGATGAGTTTCTGAACAAATTAAGTTATATTTTTGCTTTTGAACCTTTGGCCCTCCCCACTACAGATGGCCTAAGATATAGATATTTCAATGTCCCTTCACTTGTATTGCGACATATGATGTAATAAATTGAATTCCGGATACACAGAAAAAATGAACTCTTCAGTCCATGAACTTACTCTCAGGTTGAATGTACTACTTGGAGAGACCGACTCAATTACAAAACAAGTACAATTTGGTTCAAGCGCAAGCATTATCGAATAATAGTGCGGAATCAAGAGTACATTGTACGGACGGCTACAGCCATTACGTTAAGCATTACCGAATTTGCTTATCGAAAAGTATGAATGCCGAAAAGAGGGGCAAGAACACCATATATTATTACACAGTAAAAATCTATTTGATTGCCCACTAGATGATGAAAATATAGAGTAAAAAAAGAAACACATAAGTTCTGTTGCCTCATTCCCAACGGCATCAAACGCACAAATGTTCTCTCATCGCGACTGCTTTCCCACAAACACCACTAGCCTGGCACGCGTGGAGACGCTTACTTGGCTCTGCTGAAACATGAAACCAAATTATACATATCAGTTTCAATCAGATGTTCAATCAGACAAAAGGATTGGATTCCGCCATTTAGTGATATTGCAATTCATCACCGTCTTGGTATGTTTAGCGTACCTCATGCAAGAAACAATCTGGAAACTCACCTTGCACTCTTTAACTCTACGTCTCCTTCTCAAAGTTGGAACCCCTTTGATGTTTGCGATTCTGTACAATCCTATAGAAGTAGAAAGCTACAACAGCGCCGCTGCACAGTAAAAAAAAAGCAAACTATAAGATGATAAACTCTTTGAGATCTGAATTATAAATATTACAAAACTCATATTATCATGAACAAGCAAACTATACGGTTTTGGATTAGCTACTAAAAAAGATGGTTTTATCTTCACTTCAAATAAACAAAGTATACTTGTACATTTTTATGCTGGAAAATGTGCATTGTTGCTCAGGTATGTGTATTCAAAGATGTTTGGAGGTAGTCAGCAATCTAGACCATCTAGACAAAAACAACGAAAGAACCATGCAAGGTCCAAAGATTGCAAAATACCACATCAAAATCCACTCAGATCAGCCATACAAGTCTCTTCCACTATTTTCCCTCTCTCAGATTGTTATTTATAACTAGATGCCATCATTTCCTTCCCAAAACTACAGGTTATTTTTTACCTTCCCAAAACAAGGATTTTGAGAGCAAAATAAACTCTTTTAACGATTATATCATTGTCTCCATATCCATCAAAGACTAAATATAATTTTCTCTGATTAAAGAAACGCAAGAAAGCAAACAGCATCATAAAAATGAGAAGAAACATGAATCATAATAACCTGACAAGGGTTGTTAAGATATTCGGAAACGATGATCTCTGCAAATAGGAGAAACAAAAACAGAAACAAGAAATATTAGAAATTTGGAAGACATGTCAATTAGAATAGTAAAGAAACTTAATTGTACTATAAGAAAAGAATGAATTTCCAACCTGAGCCAGAAAGCGTAGCTCCCTCAGAAAAATTACACTGGATACGGCTGCAGGTCCGACAGTACATTAAAAATCATTGAAATTATATAAAAGATCAACTAAATCATGTAATTAAAACTAGATTGGATAAGCTCCAATACGTATAATTATAGAAATAAACCATTCTTTACCTGTCTGCCCTTTCAAGACCAAAGGAGATGATTCTCCTCCTGATCTTAAACTTGAAATGCTTAGAAACAAAAGAGTGCCACCAAGTATAACCCCAAACCTAATAGCAGAAGTGCTTCCCGTTACCATGAAGGACAGGAATCCACCAACAGAAAGCAAAAGACCTACAAGGCATAGGCATATGCAATTAGGCATATAAGTTTACTAAAAGCTTTAGAAAGAAAAGTACAAACAATAGGATTTTTTCCATAACACATACCATAAGGTATCCCAACATGAAAGTCGCGGACTTGTGAAACATCACGGAGATCATCAGCTGATGAATTATATGTTTCAACAATTTCCTTCACTGGCTCAGGGGAATTCTTTGCAGCTTTGGAGATATATTCTTTACCTTCTTCACTGATTTCTTTTGCTATCTCACTCAAGTCATCCCTTGCCTTATCAGCCTGTATTTTTAACAGCTCCGAAGTTTCTTTCATAATAACCAATGCTTTCTTTGAGTATTGCTCATATGCTTCCTGCGAGATGCTTTGCATCTTCAAGGCTTGTTCTTTGAAAGAAGCCAGAGTGTGTTTCCAAGCTTCTTCTGATTCTTCAGATTCCGATTTAGCATTGTTCTTTTCATTCTCCACCTCAATGTCTGAATGTTGCTATGAACAAAAATTCAATTTAATGTCATGACATGTGAACAAGTTGCGTCCCCAATGAACGATTAATCAAACCCGGCTCATCCATATATCTATCTTCCCATAATATCTAAGTGGGTATTAAGGGGCACACTTCAAATAAACCCGAAACCAACATTTTAAAACGCTTTGTCTCAAATTTCTTAATATCACGTAAATAACCATGATGTCGGGATAGCATAACCAAACATCCAGTCAAAAGAACTGGACGAATGTAAACTAAAATCGCAAAACCCGAATTTCAGAAAATATTCATCCTAATCATACTTTTTTCCCAATTCCCAAATGCCAAAAATCAAAACTTGATATAGTTCCACACAAGCATCCGCATTCTTCAATCAAACACTACATTAACCTGAAATAAACCTGAAAACCAACATTTTGTAACGCTTAGTCTCAAATTTCTTAGTATTGCGTAAATGATCATGATGTCGGAATAGCATAATCAAACATCCAGTCAAAAGAACTAGACAATGTAAACAAAAATCGCAAAACCCGAATTTCTGAAAACATTAATCATAACCATACTTTTTTCCCAATTCCCAAATGCCAAAAATGAATACTTGATATAACCCCACACAAGCCTCCGCATTCTTCAATCAAACACTAGTAATACATGAACCTCAAAATCCTATTTCTCATAAAAAAAAAAACAAATCAAAACACCGTTACCACTAACCAAACACTCTTAATTCTATCATCAACATAAAGAAAAATCAAAATTTCCGCTTACAGATTCCTCCTGAGAAGCAGCGGCGGCGACAATCGGCCGAGTCCACAAGCTCCGCCGGTGCAGGGAGAGAGAAGCGCCGGAAAGCCCTTTCGGGAGGGCAATAGGCGAGGCTCCATGACCGCGAGCTGCAATCAATTGTCCGAACCGCAGAGAAGAAGACGAAGAAGGTGACTTCTTCAATCCACAGCTGCTAGGGTTAGGGTTTAAGAGCGAGAAGGACTGCAATGTCACACTCATTGTGATTGAATCGAGAGAGAGAGAGAGAGAGAGAGAGAGAGTTTGAAACTGAGGCGAAGCTGACGAGGAAAGATAGGTAAAATGCGCCGAGGGGTGCAATTTTTGTACTCCAAGCTGGAAATTTTGGTGAAATTCGAAGAATCGTTGCGAATTAGGAGAGTTTACGGGCTTTACGGGGGTCCTACGCTAAAATGCGCCGCGGGTGAGGTATGCGCCAGTTACTGCGTGTTTGGTTGCCAGGAAAATAGGGAGAAATGAATCTGGTTAATGCCTTGGTGACACGTAATCAGCGGTTGGTTAGTTGTATCGCACGCCCACTCAATCTTGAGAAATTTTTAATTGTGACGGAAACGTGTTTTTATGTGAGTTGTGGGAAATTTTATTTTTTAAGTTATTAACTTTTTAATACAAATATCTTATCATTTATATAACGATATGTGGCATATCATCTCGTGTGACGGTCACATTGAAAAATCTCTCATAGGTGGCAGTGCTCATGATTTGGTAGACGACACTAATATAGGTGTCGTACAAACCCAGCATAATGATTTGCCCCCTATGTGAATTACTTGCTTTAATAAGTTTCCATCATTTTTACTGTAATACCGAAGAATTTATGCAGTGATATTATAATTCAGTCACTCATTATCATGTGTTTAACTTTTTCACGTGTCAATGCGTGATTGATTTGAGATACTGTTATTGTGATATCATTTTTACATGCAACTAGTTCTACTCGAAGAAAAGTTCAATTTTCTTAATCACTTGAACTACGAACCTGAATCGATGAAAATGTTGGACCATGATACAGAGGTGTAGCGAGTGTATGCTTGAATTCTTGGGAAATTCTTTAATTTCTTGCATAACATGAACAAAACATTGGGAAAGACATACGAGCAAAGAAAGGAATATATGCAAGCTAGAGGACAACCATACTTGCAATACTTGGAATCAAAAGGCAAGCAAGGCACCTCCAGCCAGCAGGCTTTCTCTCTTACAACTAACCAAAAGCAGAAAGCTTAAACCATATGGGAAACCACATGCATTTATTAGTGCATAAATCATGTTGCTAGTTGCTTGTCAGTCTCTTCTTTAAGACCATGGTATTGAAGATTTTCGCTTGAAGGCTTGCCAAGCAGCTGATAAGAGCAACTCCACCTCTAAAAAATGAGTTGGTTCAAAGTCAATTTAATCCACCCAAATGAATAGCGATTGACTGTAATGAATAGTAATTGGCCAAAGTGCATCTCCACCCTAAAACTAAATAGCCTAATCCATTTTATTAAAATATTATTTTTATTGTAAAATAATAAAATAATAATTATTTTATTTTTAATTTCTAACATTTTCTTTATATATAAAAAAATATTATTAATTTCTAACATTTTATTTATTTATTTATTTTTAAGTTTTTTCGCCCAAAAAATATGGACCGTTAATCTGAAAATCGAACAGTGCAGATTGTGCCACGTCACTAGCCGTTGGGTTTGAATTTCAAATTTTTTTTACCGTTGGAAATCCAATGGCCAAGGCTTAGCCATGTGGCCCATGTCCGACGCCATTTAGTGCGCCTGCAGCATGGGCCCGCGGCCTGTCACCTTGTTAGGGATGCGCGCCCACATGCCTGACGCAAAAAAAATTTGTGTTGTCTGTTGGCGTCAGCATGACGCCAAATAGCCCGGTTCCTACCTCAGCCCATTTTGGACCGGCCTACAAACTGCTTGGACTTTGGGTTGTCCTATTTTTAGGGATGGAGGGTTTTTTTGGGTGCCAGCCTATATTTTTAGGCTTTGGGCCAGCCTAAAAAATAGGGCTGGAGTTGCTTTAAGAGTAGTTCCTACCGTGGGAAAGGCCCCCCCCCCGGCAATACACTATGCTATCCACCTAGTAAATAGTAACTGCCATTAATGAACAGTAATTGCCTTTTGCATCTACACCGTTGCACTTCAATAACCCTCGCAATAGGTAATAAAATATTATTATTTTATTTATTTATAAAATAATACAAAATATTTTACTTTTTTCATTTTCCTAGAAAATATTTTACTTTCTTTCAATCCTTGCATCCCCACAAAAATCCCACTTCTGGGTTTTCTTTACCATTCACTTAATTCCCCCGAGCTCTCAAAGCTCTCATTCCTCTTTTTCCCGTAAAAAAAACCCATATCTTTTAACCCAACTTTCTCTCAGAGCTCTCTCTCTCTCTCTCTGTAATCCCCTCCCCTATTTGCAGAAAAAGCACATTCTTCATCGATCGTCCTCAAAACTCTGACCCAACGACGTAGCCTCTCTTTAAATTCCAACGCAGACCTAACTCCCCCACCTCCCTCATTCTCGCCGTCAAGATCCCTCTCCAAGCTCTATTCCCGCACCTCTTCGCCCTCCGAGCCCCTCTCCTCCCCTCCTTCTCCCCAACTGCCGCCACCGCTGCAACTCGTTGGGTCAAATCAGTCTTTGACTCGACCGACCCAGTCCAAAACCCTTTACGAGATGATGTCCGATGACCAGAACCAAGACTCCAGGCTCCTCCCGGACTGGAAAATCCATGCATCTTCACCTTGACATCAACATGCATCACCTCCACCTTGGCCTCTCGGGTTGGCAACTCCTGCGGGGCCTCTCCCTCGGGGCCGCTTGGGCTCCATCGCCAACACACGCTGGACCTCCCCACTCAGACTCTCTGACCTTGTTCCGTAGGCTGTCCCTCGAGCACAAGCTCCCGCTAGAGTTGCTCTAAAGGAGTCAAGGCATTACACGATGGACTTGCCAATTAGTAACATCGTAACAAGGGTTTCCCAATAAAGGGAACAATGTAACGCAACGGCGAAGCCACCTTTAGGCTAGGGTGGGCTCCAACCCAATTAAAAATCTAGGTAAACCGAAATTTTACATCGAATTCTTTTGAAGTTCAACGTTTAGTAAAAATTAGCACACCTCACTTTCGTTCAACTAAAAATTGGTCAACCCAGCCTTAACAACTCTTAAGACCAAATCAGTCACTCCCTTAACTAACGGCCTTGACAAAATTAAAGAAAATAACTTATAACGTACTCTTGAGAAAATTTCAAGTTTTGATCTTAGCGTGACAAATCGAACTTGTCAATCAAGTACACTGTGAGTCTTGCTAAAGCCCAACTTTAACTAACGGCCTAATTAGTTTTAGGCCTCAAATTTTATGACACGACTTGGAGATAGCACAATAGAAGAGCCCACTTAGGCCTCAATCTCCCAACTTATTCTTTATGCTTTCTAGATCCTCAATGGCTGCCATTTTTTAAAGCAAAGAAGTTTGACAAAGCTATTTGATTAATTATTATAGAATTGGACCATCTCTGACACTTCCTAATCCTCCCAAGAAGTACATTTAAGACGGGTTTTATTTTAATCACACAAAACATCGGTTGTAGACAGAGGAACACAAGATACAAAATATATAGGTATATAGGTGTGAAAACTTGAAACTAGTTTGTCAGGATTTTGAACAAAGATGGCTTGTTAAGTCCAAGAGGATCCTCTTTGGATTCTTTTGGTGAGGATTGTGGAAATCGTGAATCGTGTCCGTTCTTCGTATATTCTGAGATCAGTTTTTGTCAAGTACTACTGTTTGTGTTTAATTTTAAATAAAAATATTTAAAATAATTTATGACCGCACAATATACAATGAACGGACATGATTCACGGATCTCAGAGATCCTCACAAAGAGGATCCGGCGAGAATCCAGATTCTGTTAAGTCTGTCAGTTGATGCAAGTGAGTGACAAGTGGAGGGACAAAGCCAAAGCTTGGTGATTAAGAAAATGGATCTTCTCCGGATCCCTCCACCAAATCCATTCAATCACTTAATCTGGACCCTTAGAATTTGATCCAACTGCTAAAAACGGGGACCCCTTTAAAAGTTATAATAACTTTATCTGTTGGATCAAATTCCAAATGCCCAAATTAAATAATTAGGTAGATTTGATGGAAGAATTCCGGCGATGATCCCTTTCCACAGTAATTGGTCGACTAAACGTATGATTAGGACTTATATCCGCACGGAATTTTGACTATACTTTATGGTGTAGGACAAAAGGAAAAAAGGGCAGAATGTAAGGATGGAAAAACATGGGCTTGAGTGACATATTACTGCAAGAAAAGACATCAAGCTAGTTAAGGGTAAGTGTACTTCAAGCAAAAATTATTTAGGCTCAATACAAGTTTTGAATTTTGTTTTTTTCGAATTTGGAGTAAGAAGATTTTAGGATATTATTTTCTTTGTACGATGAATTTCTTGTCTTTTACGTTTGATGAATACTTAGAATATAGGGAGTGTCTTAGGTCGATTAGGTTTTAGTTTTCTACTTAAGAGACCCTCATAAATTACTTTAGCGTAATACCAACACAATTTGAAAATCTTCTCTTATCGAGAATTTCATAAGCAATATTGAGAGAGATTCAAAATTCTCACTATTTCTTAGATTAAGGGACTAATATACGCTTGTGTATGTCCTATAGATCTAAATGTTGTTGATTGAAAATTAGAAACGCTATTTGTTAATATAATGTGAAACACTATGGCATCGCATTAGGCATCTCTCACAAAAACATATGACCTCGTATATTTGATTTTATATAATCTTACGTGGTCTAACCTAATACAAGAGTTGTTCTAGTTAAAGATAAAAACTTGTGTAGGATCCAAAAAAATATGACCATTTCTATATGTATTTTTCGTACACACGACATTATCTACCCTAAGAAGGTGGGAAAGTGGGTTAAGCCTCACAATGAGCTAGTAATAACGTGGTTCAAATTCGTCTTTGGCGAGAATTGAACTTAAAACCTCTTATTAAACCATAGTACTAAGTGGTGACCGTTTCTATATGTTTGGGAGTTATATTTGCGTAGAGTCTTGTAATCAAATATAGTAGAACTTGGAAAATATCTGAACACCCAGGTTAGGAAAATGCTAGGGAGATAAACTTTTTTTGGAGATCATTTTGTGTAAACTAAATGACGTG